AGGAAGGAAGGAAGGAAGGAAGGAAGGAAGGAAGGAAGGAAGGAAGGGAGGAAGGAAGGGAGGATGGAAGGAAGGAAGGAAGGAAATAAATTAATTGTATGTTAAGTAGTGATAAGTACTACAGATAAAACCTGGGCAGAAAAAGGGAATTGGGAGTATGTGAATAAATGCTGGAAGAAAATGAGGGAATGACCTACTTGGATGTCAGTGGAAAGAGATTTTCAGTAGAGGTAACAGCTGTGGTGAGACCAGTGTGGTGGTAAGGGTCCAGAGATCCAATATGAAATGGGAGCCAGACCATGAGGGTCTGAGTGAGATCAGAAGCGGTTGGAGAGGTTTTTTTTCTTTCTTTTTTCTTTTTTCTTTTTTCTTTTTACACTGTTTAAGTCTATATAACAGTTGGTCTCATGGAGGAGAACACTGGAATAGGTTCGACTTTATTGCTATAGCAAGCTCAAATTGTGTTTAGACAACTTCCATCATCTGCCACAGAGTGTTGCTTGCAATGGACAGTTTTGAAAGGAGGGGAAAAATGATCATTTTGACTAGAAATTACTCTGGTTCTTTTCTTGGAAATAGATAGAAGGAACCATAGATCCCAGGTCTTTTAGGATCCCACACCAAAGAGCCCTCTTATGCTGCCATAAACAGAAACTTTTACCATTCTCTATTCATAGAAATAAACACTAGTCTGGAAATATCACTTTCCCTGAGAATTGGTTCCACTTCTTGTTTTGTTGCTTTGGTATAAATACTAAATAGGACATTAGTCACAAACTTAACCGCAGTCTATGGAAGAAGTGCTTCCGCTGCCAAATCCAGAAGTTGATGTATGAAACTAAAAACAGGCTCACTAAAATTTGAGGACTCTCCATTTCTGGAAATAGCATATGCATCTATCGGTCTCCCACAGCACATAGCATATCACCTGGTATATAGAGAACATGTTCAGAAATTGACCTGAATAGGATCCTCATCCTAAGAAAGCAAGAAGTTAGGGTTCCCCAGCAGAGATGATCTTTACCTTTATTTAATTAATAGCTCTGAGTGGACTTGAGCTCAGCTGGAGACCTCCTTCAGTTGTTAACACTAGAAGGGCCAATGTGTAACCCATTGAGAGATAGTGGCATGACTCTTTGGTTAAAGGCAGACAGACTCTGATACCAAGTGGCTTTTGTCTATACAAACCAGGGCTACCACCCTTGAAATAACTCAGGGAAAGTTTCAGATAAGAAGGCATAGTGTAAATCACAACTTACCTTTGGGAGACCAACTAAAGATTTGTTCAGGCTAACATACTTTGGTTTATCTGAATTATTGCTCCTCTTGGTGTGAGGTACATGGCTACAATTATTAATAGAGTATTTATTACTATAGAGAGTATGGCATAAATATCAAACTTTTTGCTTAAAGGTACTGAATCATTTGCACTTGCACTATTGGCCACTAGCAAGGCGATAACAAACTCTCTTGACAATTCATTGGAACTGCAGATAGGTCTAAGTCCTGGATCCTGAGAAAGTTCTAAATTGACAGGGATTGGATTGATTCTGCTTCTAATCATACATCACCCTTTGTTTTGATAGCCAACAAATCCACTAACCTATCTGAATTGAGGCAGTTAAGTGATAATTACATTCTTTATTAGATTTCTTTGTCTAGATTCAAACAAGAATGACTGTAAGAGGACTTTCTTCTCCCATTAAAAGGCAATTTCCAGAGGTTCTCTATCCCAGCCCTTAGCAGAGTTCCTGGGTCATAAAAGGTATCCAGTATTATTTCAATTGTGTATCATGATATAAATTTATTACTGAAGTGGTGCTTTAAAATCATTTGGCATGATGTACTAACCAGTGAATTGGTTACTGTCGTCATGGTGCACCAACTCAGTGCTGGGGACTGCATTGTTTTAAGTAAGCGGATTACAGCAGTTTCAGAAAATACTCAGTTTGTAGGCTTTTCCTCAGCAGGTTCATAGCAAATATATTTTCTCTGGAAAACTTAGTAAGCAAATTAGTGGAAACATTTGAAAATTTTGAAATTATGGTTTAAAATGAGTGTTTCTTTGTTTTTTTTGTGTTTATTTTTTTTTTAAAGTGTAGGATGGAAGTGTTTCTTTTCCAACAATGTGGACTGATTTAAGATACTTATGAGTTAAATTTTAGGCTTATCATACTTGTATCATCATCTTTGGCAGCGAGTAGGTTTAGAAGAGAAACTGGCCTATTAAAAACCCAGAATTTATTTTTTTCCAAATGTCTGCAAAGAAATGGAGGCACTAAAATTATGATCAACAGTATTAGAATTACATGGAATTTCTTTTCCTATGAAAATATTTGTAAGACATAGTACAAAGATATTTTGATTATTTTTCTTTTGTTAATTAAATAAGCTTGCATGTTTTCCATTTTGTTTTATTTTTTTATTTTTTACTTTATTATAAATGAGAACAAAGTTTTTCATTTGTCATTTCTTTTCTTTTTGGAGTAAATTTAATACAGAAAATTCTCTTTGGAGAGTAGGAGAATGAACTTGGAGCTATTTTAACATAAATGCTACTCATAGGTGACAAAAAATTAAGTTCGCTGTAATAAGGTCTTGCTATATTATATAAATATGCATCAAGGAAATATATTCCCCTATAGGGCTTAAAAAAGGGGAAGCCTTTTTAAAGGTAATATGAGAGAGTATTATTCCAGAGAAATTTAATCAGAAGTCTCATTATATTTATATAGAATTTAAAAGAAAATGAGAGGGTAACATGGTAGGTGCATATATTATTTACAGCAAATCCCAGATTAGTTTAGAAAAAAACCTTATTCTCAATAAACCCTCCAGCTAGTCTTTGCCCCCAGGTAGCAACATTTATTGGAGAAGAACATGATTTTCTTAAAACTTTTTCAATTAATTTCTTTGTGTTAAACTACGCTGTGTAATTTAAATCCTGCAGTTAATATATTCCTAACTATTTTATTCCTTGGAGGCTCTGTATAAAAGGAAGGATTTAAAGTTGGGGAGATAACCTGAATTATTTAGTTTGGAACTGAAAAATTTCTTAGAAGCTCAGAATATGTTTTCCTTTGAAAAATATTTCTATGGTAAATCATAGCACATGTATTCTCATAGCTTTTAAAATATATGCTTTTTCGAGAAACTATAATACTTCCTAGAGTCCTGTCAAAATCATAATATATCTACTTGTGTTTTTAAAACATTGGCTTTTGTGAGAAACTGTATAATTTCTAGAGTCATGTCAAAATACTGCACTGTGGTTAAAAGTCCAGGCTCTGGAGTTAACTGACTATATTCCATTGCAAGCTGTTCCACGTAGGTAAATTTGTTAGCTTCTCTACATTGATACCTGCCTCTTAAGGTTACTGAGAAAATTAAATGAAGGCAATAAGAATTATACTTGGTATATAACAGGAAAATTAAATGAAGGCAATAAGAATTATACTTGGTATATAACAGGAAATCAATCAATAGGTGTTGGGCAGTATTTTGGGATACTTCTGAGTGCTAAGTGATACAGGGAATATAACGATAAGCTTATCCTAAACTTACAGTCTAGTCAGGGCTAAATAGGATCTTTTTTTTTTTTCTTTCACTGATTCATTCAACACGTGATTAGGGAGTGTCTACTTTCTATCAAGGATAACACTATGAGATGTGATAAGATAAAACCCTGGGATTGAATGATGGGATGATACAGAATGGTGACAATCCAATGAAATAAGGATGAAAATTGAGGTTGTCCAAGGTGGAATTGGGACTACCACGGAGAAGTAACTGAAAATCAAGAGGAATGTCAGGAAGGAGGTATATGAGATGAAGCTTAGAAAAATTACTGGAAATTTGTCAGCTAGACAAGAGGGAGCTAAGAGAGGACAGAACAGGTGCAGGAAAACAGTAGCCTGAGAGAAGGCATGGTTTTCAGGAGTTACTAAGCAATTTAGCAGGCAAGGGTATTTGGAGGTCTAGCAGGTTGAGATGCTGGGGAAGGAGTCAGGAAAGACCATGGGATGGGAGCCAAAGAGCGTTAACATAATCTGTTAGGTGCTACGGAGTAAATGGAAAATAAAATGGAAGCAAGTGACATGATAAAATTTGCATTTAGATATCTAACTAGCCACACTGTGAAGAGTGTATTTAAGGGAGGGGGGAATAGAGCCCGAGAGGTCAATTAGGAAGACAATAATTTATAAAAGCCTGCTCTAAGAGGGAAGAAGAAATACTGATTATTTACTAAGTTCTGAACATTTTCAGGTCCCTTTAGGTCCCTTTCCCACATTTTCTCATTTAATCCTCAGCAGGATCCTATGCTTTGGTATCATTATGTCCGTTTATAGTGATCAGACAAAACTGAGTTTCAGAGAGGATAAGTATCTGGGTCAAGGTCACATACCAGCACAGATTGGAGCCACATTGTGAATCCCAGTTAGTCTGGATCCCCATCCTTCACTTCTTTCACTGTAGCCTTCTGCCTCCCATAGTAGTGATAGTAGGGATGGAGAACAACCAAAAATGAGCTTGAAAGATAACGAAGAGTTTGACTTGATGAGACTCAGTGCAGATGTTCAGTGTGTAATGAAATATATGGGTTAGGATTAGAAAGGAGATCTGTAATGTCAGTTTAAAGATAAATTAAAACCATGGGGATGTGTACAATTGATAAAACAATAAGAGGGAATGGTGGAAATATCAATATTTAAGAGTGAGGAGAAAGAGTCTAGTGAAAGAGATGGGAAGTGAAAAACAGGACAGCCATGGTTTCATGGGAGCCAAGAAGCAAGCATTGCAAAAAGAAGGCTGTAATCAAGCCACGTTACATATACTAAGAGGTTCACTATGATACAGAAAAGAAAATATCCATAAAATGTGAGCAACTGAGACATGATTGAGCCCTTCACTAACAGTCTCAGGAGAGTGGCTCAAGGTGGCTGAAGAGTGAGTGAATGGAAACTGAGTCTATTTCAAGAACCCAACTGTAAAGAGGAGGAAATCAATAATTTATAGGTTGTTGTTTGTTTGTTTGTTTTTTTGGTTTTTATTTACTTATTATTTCTTTTCTTTTACAATATGGTGTAAGAGCAAAGGTAAAGGAAATAAAGGAGGGCATTCCTCTATGATACCAGAAAAAGGACATAAGGCCCCTTGGTCTGCCGGGAGCGTCCTGAGAAGTTGAGAAAGGTTCTATCCCAGTGGCCTGTATTTTCTCTGTAATAATGAAAGTGGGTAGATCATCTCTTGAGACCAAGGGATTAGATGAGAATTTAGGGGGTGCTTTGAATGAATATTTGTGTCTCCCCCAAATTCACACGTTGAGATTCTAATGCCAGATGTGACGGTATTAGGAGGGGGAGCTTTGGGAAGGAACTGATTAGATCATGAGGGTGGGGCCCTCATAATGGGATTAATGTCCTTAAATAAGAGAGCTCTCAGGCATCTTCTGTTATGTGAGGACACAATGAGAAGTCTGTGATCTGCGAGAGGGCCCTCACC